GCCTCTGCTGTCGGGAGCATGCGGTACTTGGATGATTTTGGTAATTTATTTGGTACCAAATAGATGATAGAGAAGGATTCTTGGCTGGTTTGTACCATGTGGCATAATATCGAACTGATGATTGTGTTGACTACACCTTTACTTAGCCACACTGGTAGGTGTTCCCGAGTGACCACGAAAAATCAAGTTCCTGCAGCAACGGCCAATATAAATCACTCCATGAAGAGCGCAGTTGAATAGGTAGATACAAGTGGAAATAGCTAGTCTAGGTACTTCATCTTTCAGTCGAGGAATCACCATCTATGGTGTAGAAAATAAAACTCGTAGTTTACTGTGTGTCGGTGGCACAGTGGTTAGGACTCTTGCCGACCATGCACATGGTCCGGGGTTCGAGCCCACTCCGACGCACACCTGATATCTATGGTCAGCCTGCAAAATTTGGGCTACCGATATCCATGCTGAAAATTCCATACTTGTACCAAAAATACGGTGTGGAATCAAGCTGTAATCAAAAATAAAATAAAAAAAGTCCTTTGTGAATGGATTTTCTCAACTTGTTAGTAATTATTTCACTCGATGTGTGTCACCCTTGAATTACAGTCGTAGATATAATAATTATAATGCATCATAGGCATTTAATAACCTTCTATGCTACAGGATAATATAGTAAAAGAGTTGAATAATTCTCGATTTACAAAATATACACAGTTTGAGTAGATGAAATTCGACAGTACACTTTCCTTTTGGATGCTACAGTGATTCAGACTTCAATATGTGACCATCGTCTGATGGCCTAAATGTCATTCAAGAAAACCAGTAAACAAGCATCAACCACTTAGATTAGAAGTTAACTGGTGGATGGTGACTAGCAGTGGAATCTAGGACAACCAACATTTCGTCCTATTTGGGACTCGTCATCTAGATGTACCTGCATACCTAGTGAGTGATGATGTTCCCACCAATTAACCTCTAATTCCATGCCCAAACATCGTCGAAGCATCTACACGAGAAGCCGACATATCAACCTGAGATCGAGCATTTCTGTTCGTTCAATCGATGGAGAAATCTAAAATTTAATTAAAACCACGTAGATTGCTTCGATTTAGTTAGAAAGTAAATTTGTATAAAACTATATACTACTAACTGACTGAGATGAGTAGTTGTACACTACTACTTTAACCAACCAGTAGTACTTGCTAACCAGATTGATGTGATGAAAAACAGTGCAGGGCTGTATTGTTCGTTTTTGGGGCTGAGCTCATTACTGGTGTATACGATTTGAATCAACTCATAGAAGCGAATCAGTTCATGCCATCCAATTTCTGACTAACTCCTTTAGCCGATGGTTTGAAATTATTCAGCTTTCTGAGATGCTTCAAACGGACCTCCGTCCGGTTTTTCGATCACTTTCATCTTGCTGGTTGGTACTCATTGAAATCGATAAGTGGTATACAGTTAGCTTTATGTAACTATGATTACTTCCTTGATTACCACTTATGTTATATAGCAGATCATAGGCATTTTGATCTAAATATTTTAGTTTTCAAATGAAACAACGGTGAGATTTCAGCTTTTCAAATCGTGAAAAACTGTAAATTAATTTGTAAATTGTGAATTTTATCTCTGATTAGTATCTATCTACTCATATCAATGAATCAGTAATATGCAAAATGATTCATTCATAAATCTTATGGTTTTGCGTGGTAGTTCTACAGTAATGGTTGGGCAAAACAGTTGTGTTCAGCGCTGCATAAGACATTGTGAAGGAAACGTGGGGTAACGGGCAGAAGATAAGAAACTTTGTAGCGGAATGTCTATTGGTAATTTGATATACACATAGAGGGAAGTTATGTACACCTTATTTGTAAATCGTCAGTTGCACAGATCCTCTCTATTGTGCTATTTCTGCTCTTCATACTGTGTTTTTCTGTCATCTTTTCGTGTTTGCCATGTCTTGCGCAATACTGGTTCATTTTCTCTCTTTGACATCAAATCTATCCATCTGCAGTTAAAATAGTCCCTGTCCCTAAATCTGGAAATAGCAAGAACGTAAAGCTCAGACCCATTGCCATCACTTCCCCGTTTATAAAGCTTACGGAAAATCTAGTACTTCTTAAACTTGAACCCTGCCTTAAAAACTTTGAAGACCCCAAACAATTTTAGACGCTGCAGCCGTCTTACACAAAAGTATCGTCTCATCATTAGATAAAGGTGCCAAATACGTCCGCTGCACGTTTCTCGTTTTCACTTCTGCTTTCGACTCTGTACCTGGATGTCTCTTGCTAAATAAGCTCTTGATGACACAAATTGAGTCTCGGGTCACAAACTGGTTGCATTCCTACTTCTCAAACAGAATGCACTGCACTGTATACAAAGGTAAATCCTCCTCTGCCGTTCTCACTGAATCTGGTGTCCCCCAAGGTGCTGTACTCTTCCCACTTCTGTTTTCTTTCATTCTGCATAACTTACCATCTTCAAATGACATTAATTTTGTTAAATATGCTGACGACCTGGCTGTATCTTTGCCTGTCAAATTTCAAAGTGACTGCTTTAAACTAAATGGCTTTTTATCAGAAATCAGCCAGTGAGTGGTCCAAGGAAAACGGTCTACTGACCTTAAATCCCTCTAAATGCCAAACAGTCAATTTCACCTTTAGGCATAAATCTGACTTAAACAAACTGGTTAGCACTCACGAGGTGTGCAACACAGATGGCACTGAAATAGAAACCAAGTCGGAAATTAAATATCTTGGCGTCATTCTATCTGCTGATCTTTCCTTACTGGTCGTCTCATATCTTGATGATTTCTAAGAAAATATTCCATCTTACCTTCTACATCAAGAAGTTAAGATATTCTGGTATAACCCAACCCTTACTCCTACAATTCATTAACGCCTGCATTCTGCCCAATAATTCTCTATTTTTCCCCCTTAGTTCTTCCTCGGCTATTGAAGAAAGACTATATCTTATTACGTAGGATGCTAAAGGTTGTCAGTAGGGTAAGCCACAGAGTGCCATATAACCAGCTTGTTAATATTCTGGTCGACAGGCACTAGGACTCATGTGAAAATTTTTACCTAACTCACAACACCCTCTTCATTCACAACTCTCCCCTTATATCTCATCAGGCGGGACCAGAAGCCTATATAGAAAACTATATGCGCGCACTAGCAAGTACAAAAACTCAGTCATACCCCACTTAGCCCCTGTTCTGTGCGATAAAGAAAGCATTAGGCGTGATACCTATAACTTATTAAATAGTCAGTAGAACAACTGGATCTCGTCTTTCCAACTCATATCATTTATCGAGACGTTTTCTTTCTTTCTTTTCCCTTTCTCTCTCTCTCTATTTTTTAGTGATATGCTGCTTTGTTTCTCTCTTCCTTGCAAACTCTACTTAAAACGTTCTTCTTCGTTCTTTCACACTCTGTATATCTCGACCTGCTAGCATCTACTTTTCTAACACCTTCAAACATTTTGTTCAATTTTCGGCTATGCTACCGACATGCCAATATGTTGTTGTCGAAACTAACTGAGATTACCCTTAATCTATGTAGAATTTTCTTTATTGATAATGTACGAACTGGATGCAATACTGTAGTGAAATGCTGAGAATTCCATTCTGTATCACAAGTACTGTTTTGGAATGAAGCAAATTATTATTATTATTTTATGGTGACGAATGTCTCTTTATGTACTACTGATAAATCTTGTCAGTAGTTCACGTCTAAATAAAAATAGATGGAATTTAAACAAATCTGGGATGGATATACAGTTTGTTGTTTAACAATGGACAGATGACTAGTAGACAGTGTAATTATTCGGTGCTCTGATCGTTCTATCCTATCAAAATAAGTGACTTAATTAGTAGTTATTGTTTACTTGGGGTCATTTGGTGGGTTGCGACTAGAAGCGGAATCCAGGACACGTATTTCGTCCCATTCAGGACTCGTCATTTGGATGTACCTGAAGTAACCTGAGACCAAGCACTTCGGTTCAATCAATCGACAAGAATATCTAAAATTCAATTAAATAATTAATATGATTCGTTGCACAAGAGGTGGCTCTGGTGATTCAAGTGGTTTGGAGGATAACGCTTTAACGTTTGAAACTATGGGCACTGGGGTCGAGTCTCAGTGGGAACATCATCACTCACTGTGAAATGCAGGTATGTCTTAAGACGAGTACCAAATAGGACGAAATGCTGGTTGTCCTGGATTCCACTGCTAGTCGCCATCCACCATTTAACTTGTAATTACATGCTCAGATCAACATGCCAACTTGAGACCGAGCACTTCGGCTCAATCAGTCGAAGGCAAAACTTAAAATTGAATTAAGTAGTTATTATTTAGTTTGATTTAAATTTTTATTTGATTGGTTGACTATGACGGTACAAAATGCTCGATCTTGGTTGACTTGACAATAACAACTCCTGGTGCAGACGCTTCAACGATTTCATAAGATTCTGGTTTGTGGTGGCCAGCTATGAAATCAAGTGTATGTACGGGCACTATGTCCCAACTTAGGACTCATCGTCTGGAGGATGCACCTGATTTGATGTTTGAAATAATGAGTGAAGGGTTTGAGTCCTAATGGGGATAACATTACTCAATGCGGGACGCTTCTAACTAGTCCTGAATAGGAATGGAATACATATCCTGGATTCCAGTGCTTTTTTAAAAAAAATTCATTCTTTTGCGTGCCATGCGGAGGATAGGACCTCAAGCTTGACCTTTGAGGTTTCGATAGCAGTGATGATGGTTTTTATGGAGTGGCGTTGCTAGACTCACTATCAACTTTATCGTTTTATTGATTTATTTCCAGGAAAGGGGAGAAGATAGGGAGTTCGTCAGTCGGGAGTTGAACCGTGGAATAGGTGTGCGTGACTGACACACATAATGAATGAATATATTTTTATATTGTTGGTATTAGTTAAATACTATTTTACCATAAACTATAATAAAAAGAAGAATTTTTACTTGTATTGTATTTATTTGTAGGTGAAAATATGGTTTCAAAATAGGCGGTCAAAATTTAAAAAATTAATCAATCAAGGTCATGATGTTTCCCTTTTAACAACAAATTCAGTGACATGTAAATCGGAGACAAGTGATTTAAACAACCAATCAGAGGTAAGAATAAAATTCTTTGAAACATTTGTATGTGTGAATAATATTACTGATATTTGCTAGTGTTGCCAGGAATGAAAGTTAAAGGGCTGTGGTCAGTGTATTTCTTACAGGTTACCTCAACTTTATCGATTTCAAAAAGGCCTTCGACAGACAGTGTTGATCAAGAGGTAATTTGGAAACTACTTCAATACTATGGTATGCAATGCCGAAGTCTTTATCGACTTCATTCAACAGCTGGCTATATGACAATGTCTGTCGTGTGTCAGGTGATCCACGACAGAAAACTCAGCGAGGAGTTTGAAGCGAATACAGGAGTAAGACAAGTCCCGCTGTTTGCCTATTATCACTGATGATATTCCAAATTGTGGTGAACTGAAATATGCGTCAGACTGTGAGTGGGAGTGAGGAGACAGGAATACATTGGACTGACAGATAAGAAAAATCTAGAAGATGCAGATTACGTATGTGGATGATTCATGTCTAATGTCACACAAACTCGAAGACTGGAAGACTAATTCTAACAAACCGGTCGAAGAGGCTGCCTGGCAGAGAAGACAAGACTGCAGGCGAACAACAGCAACAATGAAGACAACCTGCACCAATCACCATCAACGGGTTGGATTTGATACAGGTTACTTCCTGACTTCACTTATCCGTCTATAGTTTCAACCACAGGGAGTTGGAATGGATAAAGATGTGAAAGTCAGCCAATGAGAATCGCAAAGGCTGGATACGACTTCATCACCTTGAAACCAGTTTGTAAATCTTCTGCTTCACTCACTCAGCCAGATATGGATTCTGTTTAACACAAATGTGAAGTCAGTCAGTCAATTCTTCGGTACGGGTCATGAAAAGGATTTCCAGAAAGTCACTGCAGACTTTTATTAACAGCTGCCCCCTTCACTGGCTGGCTTCACACTAAAGATCAAACTGCCCGCCAGCCGGTCAGAAAGAATTAGAAATAAGAAACTCTGGTTGAGAAGACACCAACCACCAGCCGATCACCTAGAAAAAATATGTAAGAGAAAATGAAGATGGATCAGCGACACGTTGAGGAAGCCATCGAATGTCATCGCACTAGGCCCTCGTTCGAGTGGATTCCCAATGGGAACCGACGAGTGGGTTGTCAGTGCGAGGGAGACATGGGGGGGGGTTGTGTGGCGAGGAGGGGGAGGAGAAGATGATCAATTATGGGTAGTCGTGTGGCAGGCCAGTTGAAGCGGACAGCAGAAAAGAGAACGAAGTTTTTATTTTATTTTTGGATTACAGCTTGATTCCACACTGTATTTTCGGTACAATATGAAATTTTTCAGCATGTGATATCGGTAGCCTAGATTTTGCAGGCCCACCATAGATATCGGGTGATGCGTCGGCAGGGGGTCGAACCCCGGACCATGTGAATGGTCGGCGAGAGTCCTAACCGCTGTGCCACCGACTCACCTAAAACCCAGGCCGCCTGTGTGATGTGCTGCTGAATCCCAATTTTCCTCTCGGAATCCAAGGGAATGATAATAATATAATACACAAATAATGAATGTTCACTCCTAGAATAACCTCTGGTCTTTGACTGAATCCATCTTCTGACCATTTTCAAACCAAACCCGAATAAAAAATCAAATTGGTAATTTCTCAGTTTTCAAGTGACTCATAGTCATGTGTAACATAATCTGCTTTGGTACGTTTCTGTTATTATTCCTTTGTGGAAAATAGGGCTCCAACAGTGTATCCACATTTGTCTGGTTCTCTGCAGAGCTTATTTGCTTGCCTATTAGCTTGCATCTCCTCCTTACACGATCTCCTGCATACCACATTCCCACTTATCATTGCTCCACTCCAGGGTCTGATGCGTGATAACAATAAGTGATCTCTTCAGAGTGTGTCCAATCTACTTCTATTTTCTTCGTCAAATTTACTAGCCAATAGGTTCTTTGTTGGTCCACTGCCTTCCAAAGTCCCCTAGTATCAATCCTTTCTAGTCATATGACCTCGAGTGTGGAGCAAAGGAAGCCATTGATAAGAGTCCGCAGTAGCTTGCTGGAAATGGTTTCCGTGACGGGCAAATTTTTGTAACCCATATAGAGCAGCACTAACTGACTTAACATTAATGTTAAAAATCTGAATTTCGCTGTTTATGCTGACTGTGGGCAGAATATCTCCACATTGACTTCAGAGTGATGAATGCCTGTCTTGCCTTTCCAACTCTGGCTTTGATATGTGTTTTCTTTAGTTGAAACAACACAGCCTAGATAGCTGGAGGAAGTGACCTCTTTCAAATTTCCCCCAACAATCGCTTTGGTATGTTAGCCAATATTATTGAATTAGATCATGAAATAAAGCCAGCCAGAGAACCAATGGAAACCAGGGTATACTGGTTAGCTGTCTCGTTCTGGCTCTGGAGTCTCCAGTAGTACGCAGATATTACTTCACTATCAGAAGTCGAACCCTGGGTTTTCAGATAATGAGGCAAACACACAAACCATTCAGCCCCTGGGACGGAATACAGTGACCGAGTGCTGAATTTCAACTCCTTACAATTCACTATATATATATATATATATATATATATATATATGAATGTCACAAGTGTATATTTGTCTTCACATACGATTTAGTAGACGTCAAAGAATCACGACTCCTCATCAGAATTCCAGGTAGCTTCATCTTTTAGTCTGTCACCCATCTGTGTTTCCAATTCTTGGCGATTACGGGTGTTTCACACTCTTCAAGAGTCCCAAACTAGGACAATGCACCTGTCCAATACTCTCTGGTTTTCATGTGATTGTGTTCTCTGTGCTGGATAGTTAATTTGCGAAGCTTTCATCGCCCTCCTACTAGGCGACATCTTCAGAGCATACTTCAATTTGTTGAAGTGAGCTGTTTGACTTCTCCACGAGCTTATTAATCATCTCTCCTGGTGTGTGACCTTGAACGTGATTGGTTGATTTTGTGTGTTTTCATACCTTCTAGGTTACTTGTGTTGGAATGATTGTTTCTTTGACTAGAACTTCGACCCTTTGTATGTTAGGTTTCTTTCTTATCGGTTGATAAATTTTGCCTATCTCTATGTGTCTATTGTTTGATGATTCATTGGAATGCCAGGATGGCTTCTAAAAATTCTCTAGCATTCTTGTTGTTTCCTCTGTCTAATATATGAACTTTGGTTGTCCCAGTCGAATTGATGTCTGTGGTTGTCTGTGTGTAGTGAAATGAGGGAGTGTATATCATGTCTTTTGACGGCTAGCTTATGTTCGTGGATACGAAGACGAAGGGGACGTCCACTTTGGCCAATGTAGTGTTTTTCGCAGTTGTTACAATTTATTTTGTAGATAATATTGATTTTATATTCGTTCGCTGTTGAGTCTTTTGGTTGACATAGAATTGAGTGCAGCGACTTTGTTGGTTTGTGTACGACGTCAATTCCTAAAGGTTTGAAGAGTCTTGTAGTGATTTCTGAGATACCCTTTATATATGGTAAGGCGATTTTCTTTGTGCCTTCCTTGGGGGCTTTTGGTTTGATAGGTTGGTTTGGTCGTTTATGTCTTTTGATAAAATTCCATAGATATCCATTCTTTTGGAAGACGTCTATGAGATATTATTTTTTCAATTCTCCTCAAGGTGGTAGTGCTGCAATGAGGCCTCGCTCACTCGAATAATGTTTGTATGCAATTTCTTTTGTATGTTATTCGATTGTTGCTGTTGCAATTCAGGATTTGATCTGTGTGAGTTGATTTTCTATAAACTTGAGTTTCTAATTCCCTTGTGATTGTTCGCTTGACTAAGACGTCCAAAAATGGGATTTGGTTCTCGGAATCTTCTTCTCTTTTGAATTTGATGTCGCTGAAGACGGTGTTTATTAAGTTGTGAGTTTTATCTTACTCGTTTCTTTTGATCATTACAAATCTGTCGTCTATATAACGTATCCAAATATTGGGTTTGCTCTTCGGTAGTATTATGTTTTCGAGCCTTTGTATCACTGCTTCTGCAATCATATCTGATATTGGGGATCTGTGGTTTTCAATTGTTCTGTAGTTGACTGCAGTTTGTCACCTAACCTCGGCCAGGTAAACAAACCTGTAATAATCCAAAAAAAACTAGGAAGGCCTAGACATGAGACTAGAAACCCGTATTGTAGAATGAAACGAAACAATCGCTAATGAAACTTCATGGTCTGTAGACCTATGCTACACTTGGAATGCAGAGAAATGATATATATATATATATTATCTTAAGAGAATTTGAGACTGTTATCTGTTTTGTTCTGGGTAGGAAATGCGACTGAAAGATTTACAAGTCTTAGTAACAGTGGTGCTGTTTTTTACTGGGTGTTTTCGTTAGTCCCATGTCCAACCTCCCCTCTTTTAGTTTGAGCATATCAGCAGGTATAAGATTGAGTGGCCAGGTATCGTACCTGTATCTTTGGCGTGTGTTAGCGATTATTCTACTACTGGACCTCCAAAGAACTTAAGTGATGTAATCAATCCATACTGAAGAACCTTTTTTATTTAAAATATTGTTCCATGTACATGTAGTCAGCTCTCCACCTCAACTTCATCGACTTTGAAAAGGCCTTCGATAGTGCAGCGTCAATCGACAGGTGATTTAGGAACTACTTCGCTACTACAAAGGGGTGCCACCAAACAATTATACATCTCATCCAACAGTTGTACGATAATGCTGCATGTCAAGTAATCCACAACGGGAAATTCACGGAATCCTTCGAAGAAGTGAAGACGGGAGTAAGACAAGCTGGTTGGCTGTCTACTATCTCCAATGATTTTCCTGATTGCGATAGATTGGATAATTCGACAGACAGAGAGCCGGGCAACGAGGAAACAGGCATAAAATGGACCCACACAAAAATCTTGGAGGATCTGAACTTCGCCGATGATTTATGTCTGATTTACCAGAAACTGGAAGATATGCAAATGAAAATCAACAAGCTGGCAGAAAAAGCATCAAAGATAGGACTTCAAGTGAACATAGAGAAAACAGAGGTGATAAAGATTCCTGGCCAACACCAACAACAACAACAACAGACAAAAATCAGCATAAATGGGAGAAATATGAAAGAAGCAACCTCCTTCACCTAACCACCTACCTACCTGAGAAGCATCGTTTCAAATACAGCCAGACGGAACTCACGAGGATATCAAAGCCAGAATCGGAAAAGTAAGAAAAACTTTCATTACTCTAACCAAGTCTGTGTGGAGCTCAACATCACTCACCATCAAAAATAACATCCGGATTTTCAACTCCAATGTGAAGTCAGTCAGTGCTACTAAATATACGGATCAGAGACTTGACGCCGTGTCATTAAGAGCATCTCAAACAAACTACAGACCTTCATTAACAGCTGTTTGTCTTCGCTCAATACTCAAGAACAGATGACCGGCCAGAAAAGACTAGCAACAGGGAGGGATCTCTAGCAATGAGTGAACCAACCCAGCAGGAACCGATTGTGAAACAAATAGGCAGGAAGAAATGGAGATGGATTGGATTGGCAATACTCTGAGGAAACGAGTCATCAAGTGACATCACTAGACAAGCCATCGGTGGAGTGGAACCCGGTCGAAAGGGAAGCGGGCGGCGAGTTGGTCGTCAGTGTATGAGTGACTTGGAAGAGGCAGAGGTGATGTGAAGAGGAGATGAAAGCGTGTGGGCAGACTTGGAGCGGAGTGAAAAAGTTGGCAAGAAACAGAAGGCAATGGAGATGTGTGGCTGAAGCCCTCTGTTCCTCTAGGAATTAAAGGAAATAATAATAATAATATGTAGTCAGCAGCATGGAACGAATTTCTCTCAGTGTCGACAGTTGTATAAGCTTTTTATAACACCCTGGACCGTTTACTCCACAAAATATTATTATTCCCTTCAACAGAATATCTTTATCCATGCTAATCTTTGTAATCTTCTTTATCTGCTTCCACAACTGCCAGTAAGCTCTCATCTTCTTCTCTCCTAACGATACCCTACGCGTCACCCTTGGACTTATTCCCAAATTATCATCTTCCTTTCAGGTTCCCCTCGATGGTCTGCCTAATGCTTGATATCACTCAGCGTGTGTCCTATCCATTTCCATTTTTCTCAAAGTATTTGTAGGGTGATGCGGCTTTGGTTTGTCAGGGTGCTGTCTAGGAGAATTTCTTGTCCCTTTCTGATCTTGAGTATCAAGTCAGCGAAGAGATCAAAGTTCAGTGGGAATGTTTTCCGTAACACATCAACTCGCTGAATAACAGAAAAACACGATGTGACTTGACATTAGTCAAGAAAATCCAAATTTATGCTGAGCGCAGCTGAGTTCCACACTGATTTCGCCATGCGTCGGTTTGCACAGTGGTTAGGATTCTCGCCGATCATGCACATGGTCCGGAGTTCGTTCCTCTGCCGACGCACACCTGATATCTATGGTCAGCCTGCCAAATTTGGGCTACTGATATCACGTGCTGAAAATTCCATACCTGTACCAAAAATACAGTGTGGAATCAAGCTGTAATCAAAAAAAATAATAAAAATAAAGTATAGTTTGGACATCTAGGTAGAGACTCTGCCTGGGGCCGACTGAGTACTGATTAAAATGTTTGTAACTCGGAAGAAACAGCTGCCTAGTACTCCTTGCTGGTTTTCAATGGTTCTCTAACCCACAAAAATTGAAGAATTTATATTTTCATCATTCAGTAATTTCTTTTCTTTTTAGAATTTCTATGAAGACTGTCATCATGATATACTGATGAAAAATTTACCGTGTGAAACAGATTTCATGCATTCAGATGACCTTCCAATCGATTCATCATCAGGCTTTGAAAATAGTAATTCCAACAGTCCAATTATTAAATCAGTAGTAAGTATAAGTAATAGTAATTCACCTGAAAATACGATCCATCATAAACATTGTTTCATAAAATCTGATTTACAAACCTCATGTGAGTTGAAACAAGACACCGAAGTGACTATGACATCAAATCATCACCATCATCACCCTACATGGCGTACACACATTAAAGATTATTATACAATGCCTATTGACAGTCATCATTTAGGCGGGAATCCAGGAAAATTGAACGTATTCAATAGAAATGATGAGTATATAAGTCGAAATTTTCATTCAACAGATTGTAATGAAATACTGGGTGTAGATAATTTATCAAAATCTGATCATCATTATTGGACAAAATCCTTGTTTGAATCATCTAATTATTGTTTACCAATGACGGATACATTGAATTCAAGCGCACATTTCAATCCAAAAGTATACTCTACACCAAAATGTGATAACCATAGTAACAATAATAATAATAATACTAATGAGGAATATAATAATATTAATGGTGATCCAAATGACGACAGTGGTGCTGACCAAAATGATTATGAATGTGATAACAACGGCAACACAAATTTAAATGTTCACAGTTTATGCCATTTTAATAAATGCCTCAATGATAATCAATGCTATTTACATCAAAACATCAATATTAGTGAGATAAAGAATTCGGGATTAGTCTACACCAAAACCCCTTCATCACCATCTTTAACAACATCCATAGCCTATCCATATCAAGGATGGAGAAAATATCGATTGGGTAGTGATTCGATACAATCAGTATATCCTGAAAGCTTGAGTAACTCTCTTAAATTACCCCAGGAATTATTCCCCTCAACTGTCTATCCATTACCACAACAAACAGTATTATGGTCCACTGAAATACATGAAAAATCTCCAACAGATCAAGTTAGTAATACTATAAGTAGTATTAATCCATTCGATGGAATCTATGAGTGTTCAACTCAAAATGAACCACAATTCCCTGATCCATGTGATGAACAAGTGTTAATGCCTACAGCAGCAACAACAACAACAACAACAATGGCAACATTAACATTTGGCTCACCTACACTGTGAAATAAAGTCGAGTCTCACTCATTTTAGCATATTCTTAAGCTGGTATCAAAATCTCATACAAATGTGTATGGATTCCACATTGTAAATTTGAAAAAAGAAGCATACCACAGTATTCTACTGATGAAACTCACTGACAGAAGAAGAAATTCTGAGTGAAGTGCATAATGGTGCAGACATTTTTACACAGTAATTTACCGCTTATTTTAAACAAAATCAAAATGTAAAATTTCTACCTCTCAGAAAAATTATGTCCTGTACAATATTGTACAACATTTAAAATACTGTTTTGAAAAAAAAGGATAATATAACTTCATACGTGACATGTATATTTAAAAAAACTGCATAAAATGCCATATACAATCAAATAATGAGAAAACTAGTGGACACCATTGAACGAGCGGCGGAAAATTCAAATTTAATAATGGCGGCCTTTTTAATTATTGATTGGCACTACTTAGAATGTATTTGTTTTTAAGCATGTGATAGATAGGTGTGTTAAACCGTTTAAAAGTTATGAGAATAAAATAAATTTGTAAACACAAATGAAAAAATAAAGATATATACAGAAACATCTGTGAACTTTACTACAAAGGAAACAAAGACCATCGACATTTTCTCTTTACAAACAAACGGATCACATACAAAAAAAATCACGTTTATAGTTTTGATCCCCACCTTCATTTCTTGTTAAATAGTGAAGGTGTCAGTATTGTTTGATTTCTATCTGTAATACTGCATTCCATCTCATCTCTTTTGTTTCTCTGATATAGACATACATTTAATATAAAAATATTTATAAATATACTTCATGGAAAATAAATAATAAAGGTGTTTTTGTATTTCTCAATGAATGAATGAAAAACAAATCGATATTGCTGGTTTTACTGACGTTTCGCTATTTAATCTTACTGCTAATAGTATACAATTGGTGGATGGTGACTAGCAGTGGAATCCAGGATAACGCGCATTTTGTCCTATTTGGGACTCGTCAACCGGATGTACCTGCATTTCTCAGTGAGTGATGATGTTCCCATCACCGAGGCTCAAACCCAGTGCCCATAGTTTCAAACGCCAAAGCGTTATCCACTAGACCACTTGGGCCACGAGAGCCACTGCCTCTTGTGCAACGGGTCATATTAATTATTGAATTGAATTTTCGATTTTCCTGTCGATTGATTGGACCGAAGTGCTCGGTCCCGTTGCACAAGAGGTGGCTCTCGTGGCCCAAGTGGTCTAGTGGATAACGCTTTGGCGTTTGAAACTATGGGCACTGGGTTCGAGCCTCGGTGATGGGAACATCATCACTCACTGAGAAGTGCAGGTACATCCAGCGGATGAGTCCCAAATAGGACGAAATGGGCATCATGGATTCCACTGCTAGCCACCATCCACCAATTGTATACAAATCAAATCCCCAGACATCGACGAGGCATCTGCACAAGAAGCCGACATGTCAACCTCAGACCGAGCACTTCGATCCAATCAATCGACGGGAAAATCAAAAATTCAATTCAATAATTACTGCTAATAGCTTTATCAAATTTGTATTATTAAACCGGAATTTACAAAATCTCAGCATATATATATATATATATATAGACTTAGGTCAAGTTAAAGGGACATATTGAAAGTCAAAATAGTAATGAAGATCAATCACTAAACCAAAAAACAAAGGTAATAGTACATCTGTTATGGTATCATCAAAACAATGTTACTAACTTGATCATCGTTCGTCAGTCTGGGGTCATTTTCGTGTTGACAAGTTGGTCAATTGGTAAAGATAACAAAATCAATTGTAGATTGTTGGATTTGATCAGTGTGTAATATTATAAAAGGCAGTGTGTGTTTACATAGTGAACTTGCCTATCACATTCGTGTTGATTTTGTCACTTCATGGGGGAGGGGAGGGAGGTGTTATAACCATGTTAAATTCTGTTTTAGTCTGTCATTCCTATTCAGAAAATTTGGATTCCATTTGATGAAATGAAGTGCTTCTCATTGATATAAGACATTCTTTGTGATTTTTGAAATGCTTTTTCTGGATAATGATTTCAATATTGTCAAAATCAATATTGTGGCCTGATTCTATAGCGTATAGATAGATTTTTTGTTTAATGAGTAGATTTCTCGGTGGTTGAAGAGATGCTCTACGGTGTTCATTTCTTCTGATTTTGATTACTAGTCGGTTATGTTTGTCCGGGAAGTGAGGAAACAGGCATAAAATGGACTGACACAAAAGACTTGGAGGATCTGGATTTCGCCGATGATTTATGTCTGATTTCCCACAAACTGGAAGATATGCAAGTGAAAAGCAACAAGTTGGCCAAAGAAGCATCAAATATAGGACTTCAAGTGAACATAGATAAAACAGAAGTGATGAAGATTCCTAGCCAACATCAACAGCAACAACAACAACAGACAACAATCAGCATAATTGGGAAGAACCTGAAAGAAACAACCTCCTTCACCTACCTGGGAAGCATTGTCTCAACTACAGGCGGAACTGACGAGGATATCAAAACCAGAATCGGAAAAGCAAGACAAGCTTTCATTACTCTCACCAAGTTTGTGTGGAGGTCAACAGCACTCACCATCAAAAATAAGATCCGGATTTTCAACTCCAATGTAAAGTCAGTGCTACTATACGGATCGGAGACTTGGCGAGTCCTAAAAAGCATCTCAAACAAACTTCAGACCTTCATTAACAGCTGTCTCCGCTCAATACTCAAGATCAGATGGCCAGAAAAGATCAGCAACAGCGATCTCTGGGAGCGAACCAATCAGGAACCGATTGTGAAACAAATAGGCAGGAAGAAATGGAGATGGATTGGCCATACGCTGAGAAAACCATCAAGTGACATCACTAGACAAGCCCTCTAGTGGAACCCGAAAGGGAGGCGGCGAGTTGGTCGTCAGTGTCAGGGTGACTTGGAGGAGGTCATGCGAGGAGGAGATGAAAGCATGTGGACAGACCTGGAGCGGGGTGAAACAGTTGTCAGAAAACCGAAGGCAATGGAGGTGCGCAGCTGAAGCCCTATGTTCCTCTAGGAACTAAAGGATACAATAATAATAATAATAAATGTTTGTCCGATGTAGATCGCATCACATTCCAAGCAAGCATTTTATATTATAGACACAATTAGATAGAGAAATCTTTCGGAATTTGGTCTTTTATAGGGACAAGGTTCCTTTGAAGTGTGTCTGGTGTTTTGAAGAAAACCCTAATATCGAGCTGATTGAGTACTCTTCTGATGTGTCTGCCTTATATGGAATGATGACTGTTGATGTCCATGTTTTCGGAATGCGTTTTCGACCATACTTAATATCTGTATTGACTTTGTTGATGAAGTTCCTTGGGTAGTTGTTTTGCTTAAAGGGAGTTTCAGTAATGTTTGATATTTCTTCACCCTCTTTTCCTTTCTCATCCGTTAACATCAGAGAGTGTGCGCTCCTCTAAGAAACTTTTGAATACCATCCAGATATGGAAATAAGAAAGAAACAGTTCAGTGAAGAGTCTCTTTTTTCCGAGGGAATTCATTGATTTAACTACACAGACGCAGTCATACCTAACTACTTCTGTGCGTGTGTGCGTGTTCGTATGTCTGCATAGTCCGTTTATTCATTGGTCAGTAGATTGTTATTAGGTTAGTTACCAGAGATCCTCATTGCTGATCCTTTCCGGTTATACCTTGTCTCTATTATGGAACAAAGTGGATAACTCTTCATAAAGTTCTACAGGAGGCTTTTCGAAATGTTTTCCGTGATAAAAAAGCTGCTGAAGCATACAAAAATAATAACTTGACATGGGTGTTGAAAATATGAAATTTGTTCTCTTTTCTGATCGCAGTAAAATTACCACACTGGTTTCCGACCTAATGACGTCTGTTTTGATTTTAAGTCCTGACTCTGTCTGTCAGTCTGGATTCAACATAGAACTTGGCACCAAAGTGCAGCAGTTCGAGTTGCCACGTCGTTTTTAGTGGACACAGAGTGAAGAGGGAGTGAGGAGCCATCAAGTAGAGGAGTTGCATCAGTGGGAGGAAGGTAAGGTAATAGAGATGAAGATGAGGACAAAGATAAGTGAGGATTAGAGAGGTTTTGTGTGCATTTCGGATTGTGAGGGCGTTTGTTACTTCCCGGCTGCCCACACCGTGGAAGTTGGTTGCGTGGCCGCAGAGCCCAGGGGACAACTGCTTTAGGCCGGTCACACGCGGCCTGTTTTTGTTTGTTCTCTTTTGTTTGGTGTGCCTCAGTAGCATACTTATCACTCCTGCCCTGTGACACGGCAGCAGGAAGCGCGGTCGTCGTTAATCCGGGCCACGGCCGATCCGGCATGAAATTTTGTGAATTTGTTTGGATCATGGTATTGGACGAGGTAGCTGCTTTTTGTTTAACCGCTATCCAAACAACCTGCCTGGCATGGTAGTACCTCAAGAGACATAAGTCTCAGCCAGTATAGCTTGATTAGGTCATTGCGGTGTTCAAGCCCAACCACCACGTCAAGGTAGCAGTTTTCGGTCGGGAAGTCCTGACTGGCTTTGACATGGTTATCCATCCCAACTGACTGTGTTCGAAACGATGCTACCTGGATTTCTGAAAGAAGTTCATATATTTCCCGTTTGGTGCGTCGGTAGCATAGCGGTTAGGGCGCTGCCGACCATGCTTATGGTCCGGGGTTCGATCACCGGCCGACACACTCCTTTACCTCGCTAAGCCAGAAATAATGCTGGCAAAGAGGGAAGGATGGGCATGAGACTGGCTAGCATCCCCATCTTGTAAAATAAACATCACTGCTGCGGAAACTTCAAGCCACTAGCTTGAAGCCCCCTATGTTCCACTGGGGAAAGTGAAGGAAAAAAAATATTTCCCGTTGATGGTGATTATCACTTATTCTTTGTTTGGTCATCTTCACAACCTCCGCCTTGTCTAAGTTCACTTGAAGTCCTGTTTTTGCTGCCTACCTCTTCAACCGTTGGTTGTTGGTTTTCGCCTGTAGGTCATAAAGTTCTTGTGACACTACATAAAATTCATTCGCGAAGTCCAGACCTTTTAGAGTCTTTTCAACTGTCCAATGTATTCCTGTCTATTCGTCCTGGATGACCTACCGCATGATTCAGTGTACTATTGTAACAAAAGAAGACACGGGCCAGGCAACAGATCGTTTATTAAGGAAATCAACATATATTTATATATTTTCAGGTACATTATTATAGAATAATTAAGCAAACAAATACAGTCTTCTGATTGGTTGTTTCTCACAGAAAGTTAATCTTCCATCTCTTTGTAGCAGTTTCTTGAATATCAGATCATCTATATGCTAACTGTATACACCTACGCAAAATCTTTTGTGGTTGGTTGTTGAATCAGTCTTTGTTGATATTCTTCTCACGACCAATATCTGGGACATAAACATTGATGTAAATTACTGTCCACCAATTTGGCTAGCAGCCAGCTCTTACCACACTATAATCACTTGCAAAAAGGGGATTCTGTACTTAGTGAACAGTACTCATAAAATTACGCTTATAAAGGTTTTACACAGACAGTTTAATTTTAAACAAAGTAAATGTATGTATGTGGACTTGCTCCAGGAGGAATAACTCATGCATCGATCAAATTGCAACACTACGGATTATCATTGAACAGAGCTTGGAATGGCAGTCAGTCAGCTCTTTATCCCAACTTCATTGACTTTAAAAAGACCTTCGATAGCGCAGTGTCGATCAAGAGGTGATTTAGCAACTAATTCGTTACTACCAAGGGGTGCCGCCAACAATTATACATATCATCCAATAGTTGCAGGA